GCTGACGGACACGGATCGACAACAGAGAGGACTGAGGTCTGCGACCCTTGGCCTCAGCTCAGAAAGGACCACTGTCCGCCGCAAACTCCCACTCCTCAAAGTCTGGGGGCTAAACCTGTCATGCTGTGGACGTGATGACTCTGCTCCCTGGGGGAGCGGGGAGGGAAGTCCCCCAGGACCTGTGAGTTCTGAACCGACACTCATGCACCAAGTGGCCACAGTGGCGCCCGGATGCTGGGTCGCTGGGCCAGGAACAGCAGAGCGCGCCCCAGGGCGTTGGTTACCTTCTGTTACCAAGCCCACCCCCGCAGTTTCTCACTGGGGACACCGATGTCCAGAGCAGAGTGAGGTCTGTGGACGGTTGACAGCCCAGTGCCTCCGAGAAGTGGGTCTCCCAGGCTCTGCTCCATCCTCTGCCGCCCAGCTCTGGGCACTCATGTTGGGCAGGGCCCTGATGGTGTCTGGGCCTGGGCAGTGGGGAGTGGTGGGGGTGGTCCCAGGGCTCTTGCTGCCCCATTTCTACCGATTAAACCTGGTACCCACTGGCGGGGCCACTTCAAAGTGGTTGCTCGTCCCTCAGGAGGACCCTGGGGACCCTGGGTGGGCAGCGTGCTTGCCAGGGGCCTGTCCAGGAAACACGCGGGGATATAGCCCCTCTGCCCAAGGAGGCGGGGGCCCACCCAGGAAACACGGCTCTGCTCCAGTGGCGACTTCACTGTCCCCCTTGGCAGACACACAGAGACGGCTTATCCGGGGCTCCCGGTTAAGGGAGGATACAGGGCTGGGAGGAGAGATCTCCTGGAACCCCCGGGCTCACCATCACAGGACACATGGAGTCTGGCCACCTGGCTACTGGGCGGCGCCCTGGTCCTCAGAACATCATCCCAACCTAGGCATCGGGTTATGTCTTCCAGGGTCGCGTGCGGGCTCAGCTAGCTGGGACCTCGTCTTCCAGACCTGAGAGGTCCCGCCGCCCCCTTGCATGTCTATCCAGCGCCTGCTAATCTCGGGGAAGCCCACCTTGATTTGCCCCAGGTGGCTGCTGCAGCCTCTGGCTCACAACTGCTGGCTCCCACCCCTCTCAGCATCCAGAACATTCTCTCCTCCCTCCCACAGTACTCCAGTTAACTTCCCCAGAGGGCCAGCTGCATGGTGATCACAGCTGCCGCCACGGGGCTGGTCAGCCGTGCGTGGCTCTCAACCTACCCCTGGTGTTTCAGGACCACAGTCTGCACAGTTTTTATTTGTGTGCTTTTCGCAAGGCTCTGTTGGGAGGCATTACTCATAACTCAGTTTGGTGAAAATCTATCTGGATACTCACGCTTGAGGTAAATATACCAAGTGTTTGTAATCACCTCTCTCACCCACCCCCCCGCCACAATTGTAAGTGGAAATCAAAAAGAAGTTTCTGAGCATCAGAAACCAGAAAACCAGGCACTCAGCAAATGCTGGGGACCCACCCCCCCTGTGCAGCCAGGCGATTCCACGAAGCAGAGCTGCTGAGCCTGCTGGCTGCTGACAACACAAGACTGTGGAGACGGCTCTGTGCACTAAGGCCGAGGACGCATCCGGCTTCTCTGAAGAGGAGGTGGCGGCATAGGTCTGCATGGAGTGTGTGCACGTGCTCACTCACTCAGGACCCAGGGGGCAGGTGTGTCTGACTCTGTGCAACCCTATGAGCTGTAGCCCACCAGGCTCCTCTGTCCATGGGGTTTTCCAGGCAAGAATTCTGGAGTGGGTTGCCATTTCCTTTCCCGGGGGCTCTTCCCAGACCAGGGACTGAGCTCAGGTCTCCTGCATTGGCAGGCATCAGATCTTTTAATCACTGAGCCGCTTGGGAAGCCCTCTGAACAGAGCAGGCAGGTGGAAAGGCAGGCGGCTGCTCTGCTGGTGGGAGCGAGCAGCTGGTTGTGGAGACGACACTGCACATCCGCGAGTCAGTTCTGGGCTCCCCCTCCCGCCTGTGTCTGGGTGACATCCGGCCAGACCACCTGCACACTGGCGTTGAGGCCTGAACCTGACGTGACAGCACCTGCCCCGGGGGCTCCGCACCAGGGACACCAGCCTTCATGGTGTGGGCCGATGTGTCCTCTGGCTGGGCCGGCCTGTGGCTGGATCTTCCTATGCAGGACACACGTCCTCCTGCCTGTCCTGGGACAGGACCCGCAGGCTGTGACCAGTGTCTGAGGGAGAGGTGGTCACTGGGAGGTGGTCAGGACCCGCGGGCTGTGACCAGTGTCTGAGGGAAAGGCGGTCACCCGGTACCAGGGATGTGGCCCCTGGCCTGGAGTCCCTGCCGGTGCTGGGGGGTCATGCAGAGGTGGCCCGGTTCTCCAGTCCTCGCAGGGCCAGGCTCGGGACGTTCCTGAGGATCCTGATGAACGGGGAGAGCAGAGTGAGGTCTCTGCAAAGACGGTCCAGGAAAGGAGATCCCTTCAGCGTCTCCTCCTCCAGCCTCACAATGAGGGTTTCCCTGGTGGCTCGGACGGTAAAGAATCTGTCTGCAATGCAGGAGACCCAGGTTTGATCCCTGGCTCGGGAAGAGCCCCTGGAGAAGGGAATGGCAACCCACTCCAGTAATCTTGAATGGAGAATCCCATGGACAGAGGAGCCAGGAGGGCTACAGTCCATGGCATCACAGAGTCAGACATGACTGAGCAACTGACACTTTCTTTTTCTTCTGGCCTCGCAATGAGGGTGGGGTGGTGGCAGCAGCAGCAGCTGGGTCATGGGGACGGGGGTGCTGTTCCTTCAAGGTCAGGGCTTCTCCTCTGAAGAGAAGGGGTGAGTGGAACTGTCCCCCATCATCCATAGAGGAGTAGGGGAGAAGAGGGCACTGTGGTGCCCCTCGGGGCGGTAGGCGAGGTCACGGGAGTCCCAGCTGGGCCCTCCGTCTGGCAGGACGGAGCCCATGCCTCCAGCCCTCATGGCCTGAGGCAGCAGTTCCCTGAGTCACTATTTAATCCCTGTGAGGACCTGAGAGGTGCATACAGCTTTCTCTTTATAAATCAAAAAGCAGCGTCTGAGACGGGGTCCCTCATCCAGGACTTGAGGGCAAGGCTGTCTGACCAAGGCCCTTTGCTGTCCCCACACCAGGCAGAACTGACTTGGGTCCCATCTCCAGGGTTAAAGTCCAGAGCCCGGGGACCCATCTCACCTTCCTCCTGTGGGATTCCGTCAGCCTCAAGGGGCTGTCGGGAGCCAACGACGCAGAGGGGGGCTGTCTGCAATGGTCTCGGAATTGGGGTGAGGTAGGAAAAAGGAAAGTGGGTTTATGTGTAGGTGGCCCTACAGTCAACATCCTGAACCCTCCAGAGAAAGGCCTTTGGACAAAGCAACCTCCAACCCCCAAACATAGAGGGACTCGGCTCCCCGCCTCCAAGAGCCCTTTGAAGGGGGCTCTGTGTTTGTTCAGAACAAACTGGACCTGTCACTTCCAAAGCGATTCATTCCAGGAAAGAATGGAGAATTCGTTTTCAAACCCGATCACCGCGGTGCTGACCTAGAAAGGACCAGTGAAGCCTGTGGTGAGGGTCGGACCATGTTGGGTGGGGGAGTCCTTCCAACCACACTGTGAGGGGGTGGGGTGCTGGGGGGGTGCGTCCTTCCAGCTGTCTTTGCACAGTCTGTGCTCTGACTGGGCTTTCTATTTTATTTATCCAAATCAAGTTAAAAAATGCTTATTTCAGAAATCAGCCGTTTGCTACCACAAATATATTGGGAAATTTTTTGGTGGCATTCATTTCCCCCAGCTGGAGAAGCGACCCTGAACACTGATCAAGGATATGCAGGCTTCTTTTAGAGGTCAGCCTGCAGTTCCGGAGAAGCTTGATTTTGCTCCAGGTTGAGTATGGGGCGTGTGGGGCTGAGGGGAGTAGTTCCTGGTGTGGGGGCAGCAGGTCTGCATGTCTCCCCCTGCCCTCCTGCCCTGTAAGAACACAGATCCTGCACAGGTAAGCGATGAGCTTCAAGTGCCCTGAGGGTCTGTTGTTGTGTTGGAGAAGCAGAAGGGCCTGTCCCTCCCTGAGTCAGGGGGTGACAGCAGGTCCCTGGACTCAGGGTGTACTTGAGGGGCCCGGCAAGTTTAGCTCCTTTCCTGGGGGGCAGGTGGGGAGGCGCCCTAAGATCCAGCCTGGCCACGTGCCAGCCCCAGGCCTATGCTCCTGGTCCATGTACAGGTGGCAGAAGCTGTGAGGAAACCTACTTCTCCACCTCTTTTCTGACCCTAAAAGGAGGGCGAGGCCTGGCTCCCGTGTGGGCGTCTGGAGATCTTTTTACGGGCCAAAAACAAACAGGGCTGTAGAAACGCAAAGCTCACTTCATCTCCGATGCGCGGCAGGGACTAGGTCAACCTGGAGAGCGCCCTCCTGCCTCCTTCCGAGGGCGGGCCCCTTGACTCTGTGAACACAAGCCCGTCTGGGCCACGGCCTCCCTGCAGAACTGGCTTCACAATCTGTGGCCTTCCTCTCAGCTCTATTCACTGAAGATTGCACAGTGCTCCCCTGGGAGCAGAGGCTGGCTTCTGCCTAACGGGCTGGACAGATGCTGTGTTGAAGAAGCCTGGGACGTGTGTGGGAGTCCTGGGACGACCCCCATAGAAACCAGCGGTGAATACTTTCAGCAAGTATTTCCCATCAAGGGCCCAGGGATCGGTGCCAATGGATGTTGACAAACAGATTGACCTTGTCTGGAAAATCGCTCCCCTTGTTACTGGCAAGGCTGGTGGGGCGCGTCGGTGGTTGCGGGCCTACACTGCCACCTGGCGGTTGGCATGTTCTCTGAGGTCCCGAAATAACTGCAGCTGCTGATGAAAAAGAAACCGCGTTCCCAGAAGGGCCCTTTCCACGGGGAGAATACTCCAGAAATGGCTGAGGATGGATAAGCAAACACTGCTGAAGCTTACCATTCGCTGTGACGTGACGTGAGCAAAGGGCTTTTCCCACACACGCAATCCTTGGCACCAGGTGCCTTGAAGGATGGGATGAAAAAAGATGCGTGACTGAAAAAGTCTGAAACATTTTACTTCATATTATACATCCTTTTTTTTTTTTTTTGTAAAAAAAGGCAGAAACATTTAGGGAAACAACATTTGACAAGAAAGAGCCTTGAGCCGGAGGGCCTCAGACATGGGTTTTGAAACGTCTTGCTTTCACAGAGTCTTCTTTACGGCCGCTTGTGTCAAGCTGAAGAGATAAGCCTCATAGATGATATTCAAGAAGTTGTCGTCATTCTGGAAAACAGAATCAGAAGCCCCGAGGGGGTGAGACTTGCAGCCAGAGGCTTTGTCTGTCTTGGGGCTGGGCCAGCACCTGGATCCTCAGCTGCTCGTCCCCACCTGTGTGCTCACAGTGCCTGGCTTTTAAGCGCCTGTGTGAACGGGGGCGCTGCAGGCCAGGCTGTGGAGGTTGGGGGGGTGTGAATCAGCTGTGGGTCCTCAGTGGTCAGCTGGGAGATCAGCAGGTGCTCGTGGCCTGCAGTGCGGGGCACCAGGCTTGGGGAAGCACGGAGTGAGGCCGACTCCAGAGAGGCCTGGTCAGTCGCTGCCTGCAGAGACACGGGGCGTCTGGAGACTGCGCGGGGAGGACAAGACCCATCCGATCCTGCCCGCCTGGCTGAAGTCACGAGTGGCTCCGAAAGGTCCCCCAAGTCGCCCACAAGGGGTGGCTGTTGCTGTTTAGTTGTGTCCATGGGCTGGAACCCGCCAGGCTCCTCTGTCCATGGGATTTCCCAGGCAAGAATACTGGAGTGGGTTGCCACTTCCTTCTCCTTGGGATCTTCCTGGCCCAGGGATCAAACTTGGGTCTCCTGCATTGGCAGGAGGGTTCTTTTCCACTGAACCACCATGGAGGCTGGCCTTTGCTGTGGGCGAAGTTAAGACTTCACGGCAATGTGCTTGGTGAAGCCAGAGCCAGTGCACTCCTGCCCTGGCTGGCCTGGTTAGCTGAGGGCTCTGGCTTTGGCTGGCGGGCAGTGGTGAGACCAGGGGCTCTGGGGCTGCTCCGGGGGCCGAGGGACCCATGGAGGTTTTCTCTGTTTCTGATGCTGGAGACTCCCTCCTACCTGGCTCTGTGGTGCTGTGGTGATCCACCCACAGCTCACACGCCCACTCACTCCCAGGGGGTCACCGGGGAGCAGCTGGTGCAGAGGACAAATGTGTGACCTCTAACTAGCGAGGCCCGGGTAAGGGGCCGCTGCAGCCCCTGTGTCTGGGGCCGCAGTGTCTCTGCCCTTGCACAGAGAACTTTGGACAGTGTTATTAGATGGAATAAGTGCCTGTACATTCACATTTAAGGGGTTTTTGTCTATTGCTCACAGAAGTGTATAGATGTCATCCCCAAGTCTTCATGAACTTGCCACGAGCAGCTCCTGGAAAAGGAGGGGGATCCCCTTCCTGTGAATCAGGGAGTGCAGGCATCTCCCGTCTGCTCCGCTTTCACGCTCAGCTGCTTCCTGGCCCCTTCCTCTCCTTTCTAAAATGCGTTACCTTCAAACTAAACAGTCTGACTAGAGGAGACTTCCATCTTTTTGAGCCAGACTAGAGAGCACAGAAGTGCTAACCACTCTCTCAAGGTCTCCTGATACTCAAGCAAAATAACTCGAAAATCTTTTTACCCCAAAAGACTATTTACCCCAAAGACCCCTGAACATGAGAGCTGAGCTGCCTGGGTCTGCCAGCAAATGCCTGCTCTTTTCAGGGCCTGCCCCGAGTCCTGAGGTGTGCTCTGTCTGGGCTGCCCAGCCACCTCGTGGCTGGTCCAAGGGGTGGGCAGAGGTGCTGGACAGTGAGGCTGCGGCCCCAGCTCTGCTCTTTGCTGGCAGGTGCCCTCAGGCCTGTCCCTCAGCCTCCATCTCCTGGTCTCGGAGGCCCAGCCCGGCACAGCTCTGTGCAAGCGTCCTTGTTCTCGTTATTTCACAGGGATGAGTATGCACAGGAAGTCATCCCACCCCATCCTCACTGCAGTCTTCAAGGATCTCTGTAAAACACGCCTGGGCTTTCATAGCTGCTTCTGCTGTCCCCGCTGCCCCCTCCCCAGGGCTCAGGGCAGCCTCTCTCCAACTCCTGCTGGTTCCCAACACCCCCAGACCAAGGACCCTCCCAGTGGCTGCAGGATCAACTGGCGCCTGCCTCCTCCTTTCCTGCACTGGAGGACTGAGTCCCTCCTCCAAGTACAGCACCTGGAAGAGTGGACAGACACATCCACCTGGAAGCGCTGAGCTGCTGCACCACCCTCTGGTTCTTGGGGAGCAGGAAGTGGGCAGGGCTCCCTGAGGGTCTCGGGTGAGGCCGAGGAGGGGGCGGTGCCCGCCTACCTGGATGAGGTGCAGCAGGGCCTCCTGGAGCTGCGGCTTGCTCAGGGCGCTGCCGGGGGTCCCCGGGGGCTCGGGAGTCCGCAGGGGCAGGAGGAGGCCGGTGGGGATGGCAGCAGGGTCCTGGTTTCCTGGGGGTAAGGGCGCACGGCTCCTCTCCTGCAGCGGGGCCCAGCTGGGCTGCGCAAACACCAGGGGTGACATGAGTGGAGACGGGGTCACAGTGGCCGGGATGCGCTGGGGCGAGAGGACCTGCCGGGGGAGACAGAGACAGGTGGGCAGGTGAGGGTGGCTGGCGCACTTGGAGGGTGCGGACAGTGAGGCAGACACAGCGGCTTTCAAGGTTAACTGTCCACAGCTCCGAGCGTCAGGGCAGCCCACAGGAGGCAGGCTCCACCTGCATGTCCACCTCCCTGCCACCCCACCCCGGGTATCCATTGGCCTGGCATTTGCTGTCGTGACCACGGTCGCCTCAGCAGGAAGGTTCGTCCTCTGAGCAGCACCTCACTTCCCTACTTCCAGTCACCACTTGACGGCATCTAGGACCTGGCCTTTCCCTTGGGGCTGGCCGTCCATGCCCCTGCCTGTTGGGGCCCATCTTCCCACTGTGAGGGAACCACCTCGTTTCTTGCCTGGCGTGGGCAGGATGGGCAGGGTCACATCTTCACCCTCCACCTCCTGATTCTCTGCATTCGGGTCCAGGGCCAGGCGGAGTGCAGCAACCTCCTGCAGGCTACTCCTGCAGGCCCTGCAAGTGACCTGTCTGCCTGCCTCTCTTGGCTACCAGACCTAAAACCAGGTTTTGCAGTAGTGTCTTCTGGCCCCTCAGGAGCTGCTGTGACCTCAGTCACTCTCTCGGCACCGTCCTGGGCAGAAAGCAGGCGGAGGGGGCGGGTGGTTTGTGTAACTGTCCCCGGTTGTCGTTTGAAGCAGAGGTGACTCCACGGGCGACTAGTAGAGCACAGGCCCTGGGGCCCGTGAGCACGGAAGGGGGACATGCCCGTGAGGGTGACCACCAACCATTACCTCCAGCTTCCTAGTGTCTGGTCTGAATCCTCGGGGACAAGCAGAGAAGGGGGGCACGGTCACTCTGGGGTGAGGATGCGGGCGGGGAGCAGCCACTGTCTCAGGACGGCAGGTGCTCAGAGGTGAGATTTCCATCAATAGCCAACAAGAGCACTTTGACCCACAGTCTGACAAACATGAAGACTGTGCTCCACGCCTGCTGCCTTGGTTCCTAAAGGTGAACGATTCTGGGGTCCTGCTGTAAGCCGCTTGCCGAAATAGGATGGAAGGACCAATGAGGACACACATAATACATAGCAAGAACTTCCTAAACTTGAAGTTCTTGAGGCACTGTCAATGAATCTGTACCAATCCAAATGGAAAAAGAGCCTCAGATCTCCAGATGCTGCCCGCGCATGGGCAGTGAAGAAATGGATGAGCTTTCAGCTTTCTCACTGTCCTGAGTTATTAATGACCACAGAGAACCAGCTTCCCTGGAGGACGGAGCATTTCTAAGAATGACGTTTCCTCTCGGGCAGTCAGTGTGCATGTCGTGGGCGGGGGCAGGGAGCAGCTTCTGCCTTCTCCTGACCCTCATTAAGCTACGCCTGCAGAGACAGGCAGGGAGGCTACGCCTTCCAGGGTCAGTGACCTGCTTTCCAGCGGACGTCAAGAGCCCACAGGCTGCGGCATCCACAGGGACAGGGCGCCTGGCTCACCTCCATGCAGTACGTGCAGAGGGGCCTGGCCTGCAGCCAGTGCCCAGAAGCATGTACTGGATCATGAACACACAACAGTTTACTGTGGGCGACATAACCAGTGGGGGGCCAGAGATCTGACATCCTGAACAATTTCAGAAACTAAGTTTCCAACCACAGAGATCTAGGGTTTTCTTGTATCCATGTCAGACCTGGAAACAAGAAGACTTCTCTCTGGGAATGAAGTGTGTTTGAAAGAGGGCTCCCAGACCGCTGGGCAGAGAGCAGACCCCTTCCTGGCAGGAGGTGGAGGCAGACGCCGTGGCCTGCATGGACCCTGCCCCGTGCTCCCCAGCAGGAGGACACTCACCTGAAGGAGGGGAGCCGGCTGCTCTGTGCTGGGGGCTGGGTCCCTCCAGGGCTCCAGGGGGTTCCGTGCTCGGGTGCTCGGGGTGGCCGCGGGGAACTTGGCCGCCAGGGCCGGGCGGCCGGGCACAGGCAGCTGCTGGTCCTGTTGTACCGCCTGGAGCCTCCGCAGCAGCTCCCGTGGGGAGACCTCGCCTGGCCCCACTGGCTGATGGCCAGGGCTGGGGCCAGGGAGTGCCGGTCTGGGGAGGGCCCGGGGCCCTGGAGTCTGGGGCGGGAGGGCACTGCTGAGACAGGTGGGCTGGGCCGGGGCCGCGTGGGTGGTGGCCGAGCTGGCAGGTGCTGGCGCCCCGGGCTCACACCTGTTCTCGGCCCCGGGGATGCTCTGCAGTGGGAGCGGGTTCTGAGTCCCGGGGGCTGCGAGTGCGCGGCTGCAGGGAGACCCTGTCCGGGCAGGCCCAGCGCAGGCTGTCCTGAGGGCGCCTGTGCAGGGCCGGTTCTCTGGCAGCTCTGCCAGAGGCTGTAGGTCCACGCTCCTGATCATGAGCTTTTGAATGGCAGGGCAGAGCTGCTTGTCGATGGGGGGAGAGGGTCTCCGGGGCTCCTCATAGGATAGGGATCGGACGACCCCCTGCCGCGTTGGGAGTGTCTCTGGCTGCTGCAGCTGCAGGGGGAGGGTCTGGGGAGGCCCTGTGGCCTCCTGACACGGGGCTTTGTCCTGCTTCCCAAAGAGTGCCATCAAGGACAGGTGCTGGGGTTCCGGGTCTGAGGTCTGGAACAAACACACACATTTGATAGTGTGTTCATGTGTGATCTGGTTATGTGTGATGAGGGGAATGAAACCCAACTTACCCACCTGATGACTTCTATTTACGAGGGGTTGATTAGAGGATAGAAAAGCCTACTGATCATAAACTACACATCTGGGACCGCCTTTCTAATGTCAAATTTTGTCATAGGTTTCTCCCTCCCACCCCAAGATGGCTGTCATATTTCAGTATCTGTTGAATTTTTTCGAGCCACATGTGGGATACAGATCCCTAACCAGAGATAGAACTCGGACCCTTTGCAAGCAGAAGCCCGAGCCCTAATGGTTGGACCACCGTGGAAGTCCCTCACTATCTGCTGACTGATGAGCAATCAGGAGATGCTTGCTGGGCCTGGGGACAACTGTGTGCAAAATCACAGACACAGACGGAAGATCATCTCCTCAAGAGGAAAGTACTGGGAGACACCGAGCAATTGCAGAAACACAAGGGTTTCAGAATTCCTGATAGTTTTCCACAGAATGATAGAAATTAAGGGCTGGAAAGTTGTAAGTCATCACTGTCTCTAACTTGATCCAAATACATAGCAGTGGGTCTATCAGCCCATCAGAGGCGTAAACGCCCCTGTGGCTGGTGACAGGCCTTCTTCCTTCCTGCCTGTGCCCTGGTGCCTCGAGGCTGCTGCTCCCTGCGGTTGGGCTAGGAGAACATGAGCGTATCCTAAAGTTACATATTCCAGTTTCTCTTGTAAACAATTTCCACAAAAAGCAAACTTATAATAAAAGCTAAAAGTTAATTAGAAAAGATATTTTTTTTTAAAAAATTGAATGCAAGACTTGCATGAGCCAGTCCTTATGTCTTTTATATCCACGTTCATCTTTAAGGTGGATTTAAACCAACAATTCCCTTATAAAATGTTTTTTTGATGAGGAATAACCATAGGTACTGGTTAAACCCACACTCAAGTGATGGAATTTGCAGATTAGCTATTTTGCTAATGCTGGGGTATTCTGAAAAATACATATACTCATACAAAAACCGATGTCATGTTTCATGTTTGTATCTTAGATGCAAATACAGTGAAGGGTCATGGGTTCTAAAGGGGGACTTGACACCAGTCCTTAGACCAGGAGTCCCACCCACACAGGGCACATGGCCCAGGACTGGGTGCCAAGGGGAGGGCTGCCTCTTGTCAGTGGCCAATCTCAGAAGGATATGGCCCAATGGGTAACGGTCTCATCGGCTCCGACGTGGTATTAGGCTGCTGTCTTTTTGGAACACATTAACCTCTAAGGAGTCAAGTTCACAGGGATTAGCACAGAGTAAGGGAAATGCCAAACGTAAAAACAGCAACCCTTTGTAGGAAGAGCAAATTATACATAATGACAAAATCTCCACTTTGAAATCTCTCTGTCCTGGATCAACTCTAGGGCACCTCCACAGCACAGCACCCCACCCCCTCGCCCCTGACCAGCCTCAGGGCCAAAGTCCCTCAGGAATCACTGGGACCAGGTGGAGAGCAAGGACCATGCACCTGGTTGGGCCGAGGGCCCCGCTGCTGCCGGCTCCCACTGGGTTTCACTGGAATCGGCTTGATGAGGTTGGGGTTGTCGTGGATGGCAGACGAGCTGCTGATCTGTTTGGGCTCAGAGCAGGTTTTACACTGAAATGGAAAAAAGAACCTCATTTTTGGTGTAAAAGAAACTTTAATCTCTTAAAAAGAACGCACCTTCATGCTCTTTATCGTATCTGTGTGCTCAGTGGCTAAGTTGTGTTCGGCTCTGGGCAACACCACGGACGGTAGCCTGCCAGGCTCCTCTGTTCATGGAATTTTCCAGGCAAGAATACTGGAGTGGGTAGCCATTTACTATTCCAGGGGATCTTCCCGACCCAGGGATCAAACCCGAGGTCTCTTACATCTCCTACATTGGTAGGTGGGTTCTCTACCACTAGTGCTACCTGGGAAGCCCAAGCTATGTTTGAGTCTAAATCAAATTCAGATTGAGTGTGTCTCAGTGGCACAATTCAGCGGTACTCCATTGGCCTGCAGAATCCAGAGGCCCGGAGACACCCGGAGGTGTGACAGTCTGTGGGTCTGCCTGAGAAGCAGCAGCTTTAACAAAGTCTCCGGCTCTCCTGAGGTAATCAGCAGTACAAAGGCTCCCCTGGCGCCTCGTCTGGGTCGGGGGAGGGCTCCGAGCCCAGCTGGCAGCTCACTTAAGACTGGAGAGCTGCATTCTTAGAGTGACTGACCTTCTTTGGTCTATAAACCGATGGGTAAAGCTGACTCAAACAACTAATTTAAAAATTACTAACATCATCCTTATTTAATGAGTGATTTTTGCATAAACAGAATAATTCAAATCCGAGTGTTCTGAACCGCTCACTACAAATTAGAATTTCACAGAGAAAGGGACGAGAGACAAGCCTCGTCATTTTGGATCCTGAGTCATCACTACCCATTAATCTAACCAACTGTGCAATTGCTCACACACTGGGATTCAAGGCAGGGAGGGTAGGGCAGTGTTGTCTGTGTCTCCCTTGCTGAAACAGCAAATAAAACTGTAAAGTGTGGTCTTCCGCAAGGTGGGCTTCGTGGCATCATTTGTTTCAATGGCACAGTTGTGCCCTTGGGCCAGGACACACTTCTCTGTCCCCAGCGTGGAGTGGCCGTGAATACAACCTTCCCCCACCCCAACCCCCCCGGACCCTGATTCGTTCCCATAAGCTTCACGGCTGTTGGCTGCACTTTCTATCTGAGGATGTCGGGGCTGGGGCTGATCACCACTGTGCTTGCTTCGGTTTGGAAAGTTCACTGCACAAAGGACTTTTTCCAGCCAAGAATTCCGTTCACCATTTGCATATTTGGCACTAGTATTAAATGGCACATGGAATCACTTTCTGAATCATAAAATGTTATTTCTAATTCTCAGGTGAGTTATAGCCACAGGACCACTGGCCTGGCTTCCGAGATGTGGATCAGCAACATGAGAACAGAATGTGGTCCCTGACAGAGTCACTGATAGAATGCTGGCGTGAAAAGGCTTGACAGCCTGCTGGCCAGGCCGAAGACAGTGGAGGCTCGACTCACTTCTGCGAGTGCTCGCATCTGCACTCAGGGTCCCTGGGTTGCCAATTGCTTTACTCTGCACACACCGAGGTGGGCCGTGGACAGCACCCCCTTGGGCAAGCGGCCAGCAGCTGCTTCCTGAGTCACCACCACAGGCCATCTACCAATGAAGCTTCATTTTCATGTAAAAAGTGCTCAGAACAAGACACCACTGACTTCCACGGCTTGCAGCTCATTATCCAGTGGTTGAAGCTTCTGCGCCTCTCCCTACCCAAAGCTTCTATGCCTTTCCCTCCTTGGAAAAACAGAGTTGGCAAAAGTGTATAAAGGATTCTTTGCAGAAAACCCAAGGCCTTAACAGCTACATCACATGAGCCTGTTTATCACACAGATACGAGTATCCATGAGGCGGGGAAGCCTGGGGGAAAATATGCTTGAAGTACTAAAGGCAGACATTGTTGGGTGGTAGGGTTATGGGCAATTTCACTTTCTTTCTTCTACTTTTAAATCTTCTCAGTTCAGTTCAGTTGCTCAGTCATGTCCAACTCTTTGCAACCCCATGGTCTGTAGCATGCCAGGCTTCCCTGTCCACAACCAACTCCCAGAGCTTACTCAAGTTCATGTCCATTGAGTTGGTGATGCCATCCAACCATCTCATCCTCCGTTGTCCCCTTCTCCTCCTGGCTTTCATCTTTCCAAGCATCAGGGTCTTTTTTCAATGAGTCAGTTCTTCCCATCAGGTGGCCAGAGTACTGGAGTTTCAGCTTCAGCATCAGTCCTTCCAATGAATATTCAGGACTGATTTCCTTTAGGATGGACTGGTTGGATCTCCTTGCAGTTCAAGGGACTCTCAAGAGTCTTCT